TCCATCTATGTCTAGCTTTTCCAGTATTTTAAATAGGTCATCATGTCTAACTTTATCGAACGCCTTTGAATAATCTATGAAGTACAAATACAGATCTTCAATTTCCAGTATCATTGTTACGGTGAATACAGCATTTCTGGTGCCCTTGTCAGGAACAAAGCCGAATTACGTTTTAAGTATCTCTGGTCTTACACTTTTTCTCAATCTTCACATTATTACTCGCTGCAATATTTTTGCAAAATGACTCATTAGGCTGATTGTTCTATGCAAATCACTCTCAGTGGCACCTGGTGTTTTAGGTAAAGCTATAAAACTAACTTCATCATATTTTCTGGGATCTCACCAATATCATAAATGGCATTTAAGAGCTTTGTTGTTATTCCAGTGCCTAGTTCTTCAAGCGCGACAATCACTTCAACAGGAATATTATCTGGCCCTGTGGTTTTTCCTTGTTTCATTTTCCTAATGGAAGCTTGTACTTCTGATTTCAGTATTGGTGGTCCATTTATTTCATTCTTTATTACCGGGTTTTCTCCTCTATTATCTTTGAACTGTTCTTCTCTGTATTCTGACCCTCTATTTATTTAAGACATCCCCGTTCTCCATCAAATACCTCCTCCTTTTGATCTTGTGCATCATGTATTTGAGCATCCTTTTATCCCACTTACTTCTTCGATCTTGGAATACATGTATTTGCTGTCTTTGTTTTTGGTTCTTCTCTATTTGTTGACACTGATCATTTTTCCATGTTTCTTTTGCTTCGTTGCATTTTCTCTCTTAGCTTTCTGGGGGATATTTTCTTTCACAGCTTCCATTTTTGAGTCTTCCATTTTCTTCCATAGTTCTTCCTTTTAGTAATGTTTTCCAAAGCTTGAAATTTATTGCTTACATATGGAGAAAGGTTCTTTCAATTTCTAATTTGTCTTTAAAAGACCTTTGTCAAATTTTGGTTAGTACTTTGACTTTTTAAGTTTCTTCAGTCTCATCCGCATTTTACACAGGACTGGTACATGGTCACTATCACAGTCTGCTCCTGGCAGTAATTTAGACGATTTTATTGTATTTCTAGAACGTTTCTGAATAAGTATGAAGTCTATTTGATTTCTACTTCTATCGCCAGGACTCTACCAAGTGTATTGTCTTCTTGGGTGATTTTTATTCGAGGTGTTTGATATCATAAGATTATTTTCTCTGCACCATTCTAAATGTCGTTCCTCACGTTCATTCCCTTTACACAGTCCCCATGGTCCAACTATATCTTCTATACGTGTACTTCCTACTTTGGCATTAAAGTCTCCCAGGACTACCTTTACATCTTGTGATTTTAACTGTTTCATTGCCTTATCAAAGTCTTCATAAAAAATCTCAATTTCCTCGTTGTCGTGCTCTGATGTTGGTGCCTATATATTTGGATGACACCTATGTCAAAAGGTTTTCCTTTTAATTTAGCCACAATGACTCTCTCTGAAACTCTCCCCAAATATTTGATGTTCTTTGCTGTTGCTTCGTCAAATAAAATTCCTACTCTTGTTTCATGGGTATTTCCTTCTGAATATATAATTGTTTTGGATCCTCTTTTAATCAAGCCTGCCCCCTCCCATCTAACTTCTGAAAGGCCTAACATATTATTAGCTTCATCGTATCCATTTCCTGCTCTACATGATCTAATTTGCCTTTCTGGTACATTGTTCTCACATTCCATGTGGCTACGTTAAGTTCAAATTAATAAGAACACACACACACACATACACACACACAGTCAGACACACACACACACACACACACATACACACACACAGTCAGACACACACACACACACACACATACACACACACAGTCAGACACACACACACACA